CAATAAACATCTTCTAGAATGTTCTATATAAAATACACTTTTCTGAATACTGGCACATAACTTTATTTCAGCTCACATAAATCCTGTGATGACATCTTCACTTTACATGTAACTAAAGAAGGCTCACAGAAGTTAAGTAATTTGTCAGTGGTTAAAAAGGAGTCAGAGACAACATCTGCATCTGAACTAAGGTTTTTGGACTACATAGTTATCCCCTATCACTTTAACTGGTAATCACATACTGCCTTACATTTGTACTACCAACTTTCACCCTCATATTTAATTTTTCCTACATTCATGTCTTTAAGGGCAACAAATTGTGTTGTGCTTTGGTATCTGATAATGTCTTTAAGGAGATTCATTCAAATTGTTTGCATGACAGAAGCATGATAGACTGTGTAAGTTTGGGTGGGTTTTAAGAATTCTCAGAGCTTCACACTTGTAAAATGGGGATGACACCAAAATTCATTGAGTGCTTACTGTTAAATGCTTTACCTGTATTAACCCATGTAAGCCTCACAACAGCACTATGAGATTAGTACATTGTCTCCGTTTTAAAGATGAAAAAGCTAAAGGCTAAAGAGGTTCTCCACCCTGCTTAAGAACAAGGTTACAAGCTAGTAGGTGGAGTCAGACTTCAAAAGCCAAGTTATTCTGTCTAGACTGCCTACTCACTTAATGTTAAAACTGTCCCTCTAGGACTAGATAATGACTACATGAAATCATATTCAACAGTAGGGGAGGATTCAAAAATAATTAACTACTGGCAATGATTTCTTGAATATGACAGCAAAAGCATAAAAAAAACACAAAGCAAAAATAGACAAACGGCACTACAACAAACTTAAAAACTGTGTATCAAATAACACCATCAACAAAGTGATGAAAAGGCAACATATAAATAGGAGAAAATATCTGCAAATCACTTATCTGATAAGGGGTTAATATCCAGAATAAACAAAGAACTCCTACAACTCAACAGCAAAAAAGCAAGTAATGTGATTTAAAAATGGGCAAAGGACTTGAATAGACATTTCTCCAAAAATGGCATGTTATAAAAATCGCCAATAAGCATATAAAAAGATGCTCAACATCACTAATCATCAGAGAAACGCAAATCCAAAGCCACAATGAGATATCACCTCCCACCCAAGGATGGGTACTATCAAAACAAACGAAACCAGAAAATAGTTGTTGGCAAAGATGGTGAGAAACTGAAACCCTGCGTACTGTTTGTGGGAAAGTAAAATGGTGCAGTCGCTACAGACACTGTATTGTGGTTCCTCAAAAACTAAAAATAGAATTACCATATGATCCAACAATCCCACTTCTGGGTATCCAAAATAATTGAAAGCAGGATCTTTGCATATCCTTGTTCATAGCAACATCATTCATAATAGCCAAGAGGTGAAAGGAACCCAAATGTCCATAGACAGATGAATGGATTAACAAAATGTGGCATATATATACAATGGAATATTATTCAGTTTTTTTTTTTTTTTTTTTTTCCTGAGACAGAGTCTTGCTGTGTCGCCCAGGCTGGAGTGCAGTGTTGCGATCTTGACTCACTGCAACCTCCGTCTCCTGGGTCAAGGGATTCTCCTGTCTCAGCATACCCAGTAGCTGGGATTACAGGCATGCGCCACCATGCCTGGCTAACTTTTTTGTATTTTTAGTAGAGATGGGGTTTTATCATGTTGGCCAGGCTGGTCTCAAACTCCTGACCTCAAATGATGTGCCCGCCTCGGCCTCCCAAAGCGTTGGGATAACAGGCGTGAACCACCGCGCCCAGCGTATTCAGTATTCTTTTAAAAAGGAATCCTTCACATGTTACAACATAAATGAAATGTGAGAACATTATGCTAAGTGAAGTAAGACAGTCACAAAAAGATACTGCATGATTCTACCTATTTGAGGAAACTAAAGTAGTTACATTCACAGAAACACAAAGTAGAATAGTAGTTGCCAGGGTATTGGGAGACGGGGCAATAGGGAGCTGTTTAATTAGTACACAGTTGTGTTGTAAGATGAAAAAGTTCTTAAGAGTCTGCACAACAATGTCAATATACTTCACTAATGGACTGTACACTTAAAAATAGTTAAGACCGTAAATTTGGTGGGTTTTTAAACCACAATTTTAAAAATTATTAACTCTTTTCTTTAACTTTATTTTCCTGTCCTCACGGGTATAGTGTTAGAAGGCAATGTAATAGAAAGGATAGAGAGAAAAGCAAAGAGCACAGGGCTTCAACGACGTAGGGAAAAAAAATTTAAGAGACAACAAAACAAGTATTTTCATTAACAATTTTCTACAATTAATTGAATCTATCGATAACTTTCTTCTATCGATAACTTTCTTCTCAATCTGGAAAAACTAACGGCAAGGCAACAGTGTAGTGGTTAAAGGCTTTTTGAAGTCTGAAAGTTCAGCTACTATTCTGACTTTGCCACTAATTGTTGTGTGACCTTGGGTAAGATATTTTCATTCATTTGCTAATTCATTCATTCATTCATCAAAAAGTCTGTTTCCATGTGGGTAAACCTGGTCAAATGAATCCCACACCTCTACACAGAATTGTTCTGAGGAATATATGAAATAATCCATGCAAAATGTTAGGCATAACTATTGGCACTTTGTAAGTGCTCAATAAATGTTGGCTATTATTACTCTGAAGCCAATTGAGTAGGACAATAAATAAGCTGAATTCAACTAAAGGAAACCCAGTACCATATTCCTCAGAGATTTGGTTCGTCGATAATTCTGGTGTTATCAAATCAGATACTATTCAGCAATCATTACTGACTCTTGACCATTCTTGCCGAATGTGTGCTCTTCTCTTTTAAAGGAACTCTCTCCCAGGGAAAAGCAATGTCATCTCAGGTATTCGATGTTTGCTTTGGGAACAGTTTTCTACAGATCTCAGAAATGATGGCACCTGAGATTAGCCACTAGAGTACCCCGTTCCTCTCACTTCGATAGGGGCCTAGGCCTTATGTGGGACTGAGAATGGGGAGGAAGGGGACCACATAAACAACACAGATACAAATAAAGCCTCACTGTGGTAAGACGGGACCAGACAAGTCTCCTCCAGGGAAAATGAAACCTGGACATTCAGGACAGCGGAACGCGGAGCCGGCGGGCAGGCTGGAGCACAGAAGCCTCGGGCAGCTCTCCCCGAGCCCCAGCCCGAAGCCGGGGCCGGGGCCAGGGCGGGGGTGTGTCGAGATGCTCCCCACCGGCCTGGGGCTGGGGATGGCTCAGGCAGGCCGGGGCTTCGCAGGCTTCCAGGAGGGGCCGAGGTGGGGGCAGGGGAGGGCTACGCGGTGCTCTGGGGATTGGGCAGGGAGAGAAGGGACGCTGAGGTCTCACCGCGGGCCGAGGGCAGTGGGTAGAGCTTCTCGGCTTTCTGCAGGAAGCGCTGGGCCTTCTCGCGGTTGCCGGCGTTCAGGGCCTCCCGGGCGATCTCGACACATTTCTCAGCCTCATCCCTGTTCCCCTCCATAGCTTGCTCCTTCTTCCGTTTCCTCTCGCAGCGCAGCTAAGAGGGGCGGAAGCCGCCGCCGCGGAGGAGGCGAGGCGGACCGGCTGGGGGCGTGCGGCGGCCGGCTGGGAGGAGCGCAGGGGACCGCGGCAGCGGCGGCGACGGCCCAGGCTGACGGGCGGGCCTCGCAGCTCCGCCTCCTCACGGCGGCCTCCCCGCCCCCCGCGAGCCCCTAGGGTGCTAGCCGCATCCGTCCCGGCCCAGGACCAAGCTCCTGGGCCCGGGCATCCGAGCTGACTTGGTGGTCCGCGCACGGCGCCGGTAGGCTAGAAGCTGACCTGCCCGCAAGGCGGGCAATGGCAGCTGGGCTGCCCATCGCGGAGTAGGGGGTTCCGCCCCGGACCCGATTGCCGGCATTGGAAGCGCCCTGCCCTGTGACCTCCGGGCACGGCCCTCGCAGATGGGGGCAGGAGGACGGGATGGCGGAAGGGGACACTCGTTTTCAGTTAATTTCCCAGGCTTGGAGGCCCCACTTCTGAGCCCCTCAAGCGAGGGAGGATGCGGTCAGGTGAGGACCAAGGTGTCAGTCAGTCCAGTCTCAGCACTTCCGGGACACGTTAGAGCGTCGTTTGAACCTAATCTTAGGGCTTGTATGACAGCCTTATTTCAGCTGCACATTTTTTTCTGACCCAGATGTCAGGCTATCCAAAGAAGTACAAAGCAGTTTAATTTGTAGCTTGCAACGAGTGGTGCAGAGCGGCCCTAATCCTGTGTATTCAAAACAAGGGAGGAATCAGCCCCTCCAGTGTTGCCCTAACGAAAGCAAACTTTTGATTTCACCTTTTCCTTCCCATTTGGGTAACATTACCACTTGGAAGTACGGTGTCATGTTAGTCTTCACGGTGAGGGTGGGGGTGAATGTTATGTGCAGTTTTAATTTTTTTAAAAAACATGACAAACTGTGGAAACGATCTGCTCAACCCAACAAGGTAACGATTTTTACAAAATGCTGTGAGCCAAGCTGTTAATTCCAACTACCACCAGAACTCGGTACTTTCAAATAAGAAAGCCTGCTTCTCTTCAATAAAATGGAGATAGTATATCCCCAATGATGTTACTGAGCACTTAACAATTTCAATTTCAGACTTCAAAGCAGGGCCTAGCACGTAGCACTATTAGCTTCAGAGTTTAAATTCGGAGTTCATTATGTGGATATACAGGACATTCCTACCTATTCTCTCCCTCCCCAAGTCTACCACACTAACAGCATACTAGTGCAGTGCTGTCACACAGCAAGCAAAGTCAATGCACAAACTGAAATGCTCCCACTCCAGCTCCTGCCAACTTTTTAAATTAAAACTTTAGTAGCTTATTATATAACATTAAAAATATATACTTGGTCTATCTCACTTTGTTGATCAATATTTGACAGGTCAGTCACAAAGAAATGTGCTTAGTTATTGCTGCTAGATATTCAAAACAAATTCCTATTACAATCAAGCCAATTTAATACACAACTAGTTTGGGATATGACCTTTATTGAGCTTATCCACCAGAGTGGAAATAATGTCTGTACAAAACCAAATGTTTGTTACTATAACTTCTGCATCACAATTAAAATCCAAACAGTTTTTTAAAAACAGTCAACTCAATCAAAACCCACTACTTCAGAATCAATAGCTTCTTTGAAGCCACAGTAACACTTAAATATGGTTAAGACTCGAATGCAGAAATTTGGTTGGTTGGAAAGCTAATTAAACTTCCAACTTGCTCAAATAGAATTACAAAAAGGCAAAATTGTGTTTTTCACAGAGATACAGTCCACTGGAATCACCAACACTGGACAGCTGTTAGAGTATTTAGAGTCCTGAGATAACAAGGAATCCAGGCATCCTTTAGACAGTCTTCTGTTGTCCTTTCTTCCCAATCAGAGATTTGTGGAGGTGTGGAATGACACCACCACCAGCAATTGTAGCCTTGATGAGCGAATCCAATTCTTCATCTCCACGAATAGCAAGTTGCAAGTGACGAGGGGTAATACGCTTTACCTTTAAGTCTTTTGATGCATTTCCTGCCAGTTCAAGTACCTAGAAGGCAGAATTTAATCAGTTCCCTTCCAACTTTCCTTTGGCCAAGATTCAGAGAACAGAATAAAACCCTCACAAACGCTTATCTACCAACTGGAGTAGTTCCCCACTATCTGACTGGCAAGATATACAGGGGGCACGCAATTTTAATTCCAAGAGCAGAGAACTCAAGCTCAGTAGGATCCTTGTTGAACAGCAGCTCCCTCTGGCGTTCTCTTAGGCCTCTCGCCGCGTTCAGGGCCTGTGAGTTTTCTTGCATCACTTTCCTCCTTCCCTCTAGCCGTCTCCCCGCCCCCCAAACCTTCTCCGGATTATAGGCGTTCACCCATTTACCTCTGCGGTGAGGTACTCCAGGATGGCTGCGCTGTACACAGCGGCAGTCGCGCCCACACGTCCATGACTGGTCGTCCTAGATTTCAGGTGTCATGAATACGGCCACTGGTGAACTTAAAATTTTAAGCATTACACAAACATAAATGACAAAGATAGGAGAATGGGATGGGGAAATTATATGCGCGCAAAGCAAGGGGACCGGGCGCAGCAACGGTCCGAACATCGAACCTGTTGATTACTCCTCCCATAATTTTATGTTATGGCAGCCAAGTCGGGACACGTATACCCGCATAGACCGAACGCGGCCCATCGAGAGCGGTGAACAACAAAAAAGAGGATGCAAAGAAAACATCACGACTCCCGAGCACGAACAACTTACTGACCTGCAAGACCGGCTTTTCGAGGCGGGAAACGCCTTTGTGGTGGCCTTTCCGGAGTCCATTTCCGCCTTACAGCCATGCCTGCGGCGGCACAGCCCGCAGAGCGGAGGAGGAACGTGAGTGAGTCAGAATATAGATTACCAAGCGGCGCGCCATTCCGCCACCGCCGGCGTCCGCCGCGAGCGGTCGCACCCTGCAGGGGGTCTGTGGCCGCGGCGCGCCGCAGGGGGACCCGCCGTCCGCCCCGGCGGCGCTCCGCCGCGGCGGCGTCCGCCGCGCGCCCCCAGCGGCGCTGCGCGGGGCACTCCACGGGTCCGCCGACCGCCGCGAGATCCGAGGCTGCTCCGCTAGCAGCCGACAAAACACCTCCCCCCGCTCTTCTAAATCCTGTCTCCGCGCGTTCCCAACCGTCGCCACTTCACCCCCATCCCCCGTGTAACGGGTTTTTCTCCCGCCGGCAAAAACCCGCGAAGTCATCGAGCGTCTCTGCGAAGTTTACCATTTCGAATTCTGCTGAAGCTCAAGCAAGCAAGGCAGAGAAAAGGCTAATCGGACCCACGGTGAGATCCCACCACCTACTCCTTCGTCGCACCGCGATTCAAACTGCGCTGTCTCCCGCCTTCCCTGCTCCCTTTATACTGCAGAATGTTCCCTCATCCGGGAACTCGGATTGCTCATCCCACCAATGGCTGCCACCCGCCCTCGGGACGCGTCCTTGAGACTTCAGCCAATGAGCAAGCAAAGAAAAGGGTGGAGGGGCGGGCGCTTCTAAGCTCAAGCCGCGATTGGGACGTGAGGAGCGAAGCGGGGGAGGGCGGAGGGATGGGAACGGGGGAGAAGAAGGGCACCGCGGCGGGAGGGAAGAAACAGAGCGAGCTACTCTGCGGGAGCGCAGTTACCAGCCAGCTGCGGTCACGTGCCGGGGAGGAGGAGCTGAGACCTCAGGGGAGGGGCGCGCGGTAGCGCCCCGGGTCCCCTAGCAGGGCTCTGGAGACCACGTGAAGTCTCCTCCGTATCTAGCACGCAGCCCCCACCGCTCCCAACCCCACCCCCAGCGCCTCTCGGGCGGAGACCTGCGACCTGCAGCCGCCTTCTGGGGCCCCGGGCACCCTCTCCCGACCCTCTCAATCCCTGGCGGCTCCTCCAGTCTGACAGGTGGCGCGAACGCGTCCAGTGAGAGGAGGCTGAGGTTTGCCCTGACGCCTTCCTCAGCCTTAGTAGAGATTCCGTGTTTTCTTCCCTCTAGGCGAATCCCCAGTCACCAACAACAGATCAGGACCGGTTGCTCTCACTTTATTTTCAGCCGGGTCTTCCACCTCTCCCTCACTACTTATGAAATCCCCCACGGAATAGTTCTGTGACAGCAAACGGTGAAGCCAAGTCACCTCACTGGTCACGAAACCCTTTTTGTTTACACTTAAGGAGCTTCTGGCGAGGCAGTATTCTTAAATCATAAACCATATTTTTTGGTGACTACACATCAATGGGTTGTACCTGTAGCCTGATGTGTAAAGCTCATTTAGTGAAACCTCAGAGCTATTATGTGTCAACTTTTCAACAATAAATATTTTGCCACATGACAAATGTTCGGCAAATGTCGACGGAGTAACTCTGACATGATTCACAGGCAGTTACAGAGGGTCGGTGCAATGCAATCAACTGCAAATGATGAGGTTAAAATAATGATACTGTACACACAGTACTATCCTTCCAACTAGTAGATTATTAACACCTACATATATCTCCAGCTGCTTGGGGACAGTAGTGTCTCAATCTCATTTGTAGTGTTTTACTGCTTTATACTTTTTAACATAACTGAATAGTTTCAGTGTGATGAACGTTTTGAAACATATGCTCTAGGCCAGGTGTGGTGGCTCACACCTCTAATCCCAGCACTTTGGGAGGCTGAGGCGGGCAGATTACGAGGTCAGGAGTTCACGACCAGCCTGGCCAACATGGTGAAACCCCATCTCTACTAAAAATACAACAATTAGCCAGGCGTGGCATCTCTACTAAAAATACAACAATTAGCCAGGCGTGGTGGCACCCACCTGCAATCCCAGCTACTCAGGAGGCTGAGGCGGGAGAATCGCTTGATTCCGGGAGGCAGAGGTTGTGGTAAGCCAAGATCACGCCACTGCAGCCTGGGCAACAGAGCGAGACTCCTTCTCAAAAACAACAACAACAACAACAAACATATACTCTGAAGTACTTTAGATTGGGTTTCAAGTGGAAAGATTTTATTGAATCAGAGGACCTCCCAATTTCTGTGAGATAAATTCTAGAGAAGAACTTCCCAAGGATTTTGACATTGAGGTTTATTATTTCTTGGAACCAAGGAACTCTTACGATGTCGATAGCAAGAGTTCATAAACCGTTTTCCTACTGATGATGTAATGATGATATATTAAGCTACAAAACCTGATATAATAGTTAACGATGGCTCCAGGGAAGCTTTGTGATATATAACAAACCAACATTAATGCCATGTCTAGTTTAGATAATACTCTGCCAGCTCTTTGCCATGAAGCCCAACAAAAGGAATTTACTGTTGCCTCGCTGAATAGTGGTTAGAGGATGAACTCAGAAGCAAGTAGAGATGGATTCTGTTCTGCCTCCTCCTCACTGTGTCATCTTAGTTACTAATCTTTCGGAGCTTGGAGTTCCTCTTCTGTGAAAAGATAGTATCTATTTTCACATGGTTGAAAGATTAAGGGAAAAGGTATGCAGTGTACATGGTAGCATGTGTTTGGCACATAGTTAGCCCTCAGTAAATAACTGCTATTATTTTCTACATTGGATGGTGGAGAGGGATGATATAAAGTATCTTTTATTTCTATTCAAAAATCTTTTTTGCTATTTGGTGTATTTTCTTTCTTCGATGTGGAAGCAGCAAGCTTGAAACCTGCCCAAAGTATACACAACCAAGTTATCCAACATCCAAACTAAAATCCAAAATTGGTTTAATAACTCAATAGCTTTCCTTCAGAGAACAGGACAGTATTACTTTCTGCACTTTTCTCAGAGTGGTGCGATGGTTTCCTACTCTCTTTCCTACCCCCTGGAAAAGGTACGATGCAAATATGTTAATATTCTTGGTTTATCTTTCCAGTTCTTGTGTTAATCGTAATACGTGTATATAATATAACTAGCCAGAGCTATGTAATCATTTTTGTTTAATGCCATACCCAATTAGTTCTCTTGCCATAAAAAATATGGGATGTCAGGGCAAGAGGATCACTTCAGCCCAGGTGTTCATGACCAGTCTGGGCAACATAGTGAGACCCATCTCTACTAAAAATACAAAAATTAGCCATGCATGGTGGCCCCTGCCTGTGGTCCCATGTACTCGGGAGGCTGAGATGGGAGGACCACTTGAGCCCAGGAGGTTGAGGTTGCAGTGAGCCATGATTGTGCCACTGAAATCCAGTCTGTGTGATAAACTGAGACCCTGTCTCAAAAAAACAAAACAAAATCCTAATAGGAGGTAGGCGAACCCACTATTATTGAATCTTTCCTTAATAGCCTTTTCCTAACTAATCTAGATTTTCCACGACTAGTTACTATCTCCTCTGAAACACTAGCATGTATATTAACTACTGTTGTTCTTGTCTTTTTATGTAGAGAATTTGAGACTCTTACACTTGGGAATTACAAATTTCTCAACTACATCTTGCTTTAAAAACCTATTTTTAAGAAAACATGAATAAGTTCTCCAGTTATTTCCAAGGATATTAGCTTAGATCAAAAATGGCAAAAGTCTTCTCATCAGGAAATCCGCATTAGAATCTTAGTTCTCTCTACCTAGGGCATCCAGGAAAAATATGTGCCTTCAAGGATTCACACAGCTGTGAATAACTGAGTTCCAGTGTGGTATTATGCAAAATATTGACCTAGAGTAAAAGAATTAGGGTTGAGTTTGGGTAGCCACTTACTTGCTATATGGCTTGAAGTGTGTTAAACACTGAAGCACTGTTTCTTCATTTATTAAATAGGGATTCATAGCATCAGATAAACCAACTTGATAGAATTGTGACAGAGTTTCATTAAGTGTGAAGAATATGTAAAGTGATGTAATAATATTTTTGGCACCAAAGCCATAGTCCTTCCTGAATTCTGTTTAGATTGAGAAGCCTGTGTGTTTAATTCAGTGTTGATAAAACCAAAGCCATCGATTTAAATTCCAAATTGCCCAGCTTTGCACTTCTGGTGATCACAGATTGCACACAGGTAATGATTCACAAATGCAGGGAATATATTACAAAGATCAGCAGAATCTGCTCAACCCAGATCCACTGCCATTTCAGGAAGAACAAAGATCATGGGACCCAATACCCATTTTAATATAGCACTAACTTACTTTTTCCATACATTAATCCTCAGAATTTTTGGAAATTTATTGTTTTAAAATTTTAAAAATCAAGATTCTTATCATATTATCCTTTTATTATCTATTATCGATATCAATATTTATCTTTAGGATTTTCGGGGCAGGGGAAGGGAGTCCATGTGTTGAAATTGTTTTCCTAAATAATAGTGTATTTGTCTATGCAGTGGGTCCTCCTTCTCTGTATCCCTGTGTTCTACATCTGTGGATTCAACCAATTGAGGATCAAAAATATTCACAACATAAGCTGGGTGTGGCCAGGCGTGATGGCTCACACCTGTAATCCCATCACTTTGGGAGGCCAAGGCAGGTGGATCACTTGAGGCCAGGAGTTTGAGACCAGCCTAATCAACATGATGAAACCCTTTCTTTAATGAAAATACAAAAATTAGCCATGTGTGGTGG